TGGAGGTGTAGAGGTCTTTGTAGAACTTTGCCGCCGCTGATAACATGCGGGCCGAATCCGAAGTGATTGTGTTGCCTGTGCGCAGTTGATCTATAAATTTTATTCCTTCAGCTCGATTTTATTTTCTGGAAGAAGTACTTTGTCATTTTCTCGCCCTGTTCCAGCTCCTTGACTTGTGCCCGAAGACGTAAGCCCTCCTCTTTCCATCTCTTCCACTCTGCCATTCTCTGTCTGGCCGCGTCCGGTGCATCCTCCAGCTGGGTTGAGCCTGGTTGGGCCACGAGATTCCTCTCGGACAGTCTCAATACTGCTTCCATTTCTTTCTCCTTTGCTGTTCTTCTTGCTGCCAAGATGYGGGAGGCCTTGGCCGWGGCCCTGGAGAGACTCCCCACCAATTGKRRGAAGGATGTGTCCCGCGTGCCATAGCCTTCGCAGGTCTYCAAGATGTGYTGCTTCATAGTGTGTGCGTCGAGGAGTGAGTTATTGACTTTGAAGAAACCAGGGCCTCTCCTGACCGCTGCTTCAAGAACAAGGTTCAAATAGATGAACTTGTGGTCTAGACCTGGTGAGTACGGCAGGTCGCTAATGCCTGCTGACTGTACTGCACCCCTTAGGCTTTCAGATATGAGGAAAAGGTCAATGCGCGATGCAGAGRYGTGTTGACTGCGGTTGCGTTTGAGATAGGTGAAGGCTTTGCGAGTGGGTTGGAGGGTTCGATAAGGATCCACCAGTTGTTGTTCCGTCATCATGTTATGTATGGGGGCCGACTCTTCCCAATGCATTCCGTCCAATCCCCCTGTACCTCCAGATAACCTATCCATAGCCGGATCCTGCGTGGCGTTCCAGTCCCCTGCCAGTAGTAAGTGCGCAGGAGTGGTGCATTGTGGCGAGAAGGAGCTGATAAATTCGGCTCTGCACTGACGAGCGTTGGGGCAGTAAAGCGAGAGAAGACGAAAGTGCTCTTGATTGAAGTAAAAGTCCAGCCTCGCCCATCTCCCTCCTGTGTGGTCTATGTGTTCCGCCTCTATGGTTATGTCTTGTGCGACAGCTGTGTTAGCTCGTACGAGAATGATTGTGCCTGCTGATCCAACCATCAGTTATGTCTTGTGCGACAGCTGTGTTAGCTCGTACGAGAATGATTGTGCCTGCTGATCCAATCATCAGGGCCGGTGCCCATATAGCTAGGTGAACCCAGCGAAGCCGATTGAGTGTTTCCTTTTGTACTTGTTTGTGTACCACTGATTCAGTCAGGTGCGTTTCCTGTAGGCAGAGTATGTCCGGCGCTCTTCTCCCATACCAGCCTGTTGCATTTATGAAGTTACCCCAGTTTTGCTGATTTTGAAGTATGGTAGCCAGACCATTGATATTCCATGAAATGATCCGTAGGTCTGGTGTTAACCGCGCGTCGTCTTGAGACTGTAGATCCACCTGATCGTCCATAACCTGCTAATGATCTTCTTCTRCAGATTCTCTAGCTCCACTGCCGATCTAACGCTTCAAAAAGAATGYCTCCTTCTTCTCCGTTAATGTGTTGATTTTCTTAACCCATCCTCCCTCGTTAGCCAAGAAAAGTYTGTGCCTGGTCACCAGCRCTGCTGCCAGAGCTGCCCTCTCCGGTGCCATTCCGTGCYCCAGCWATCCGTWCGGACTTGATTCCASTACCTGCCRTGGAATCCATTCCAGGTCCTCCTTCAGTAACATCYYGTCTGATACCCTCACCAGCAACGGCCGAAGGTCCACCGTGTGGTGCTGACCRTCAGCATCCGTCCATTTTTCGRTGTTWCCTTGCTCCCCTCCAAYGGTAAAGAGTGGTGTCAGAGCATCCTTAAACTGTGCAGCCAGCGACYATCGCGCAGGGACTGGTCCGCCACTGTAACTAARGCTCAAGGGRTTGAAATTGGCTGGAACGTTGCCATTAACCAAACTGAATTCTCTTATTTACTATTGTAGCTATCTTTCCATTGCCTAGCTGGTGCTTTTCGAAATCTGCTATGATTTTCTCTCCCTTATCCTCATGCTCCGCTACTTTCCTGTATGCTCTTTTCCAGCAGTCCCTRTACTCTGTTTGTGTCAGCTGCAGTACTCCCTCTCTTGCTTCTTCTGCTGCCATTGGGGTATGGTTTATTGTTTCTYGACAAATGTGAAACCCATATCACCCATACTGCCGCCAGCCTCAAGGAGCGGAAGAAGGATGTCTCGTAATCTTGCCACTGAGAGGGTGTGTGCTGCCCTAATAAAAGGGGCACCAGGTCAGTTGGGAATGATTTACCCRTTATCAAGAGCCATAATTCAATGATATCAGCACATACCTCTTCTGCTTTTTGACAGTATCAAGGRTCAGTGCTGTACATCTTCTATTGGACCTTCTTGGCATGCAGCACGCAGCTCTTGCAATGGTGAATGGGTTTGTGTACTTCACCCCTTTTATTCAGCCATCGGTTACCTGGTAGAGCTAGGCAGGCCAGAAGCCATCTGCAAATTCTAGTGGAGGTGATGGCTAAGGGTGCTTCTCCATGAAAAGATAGATGAAGGTGCGTTCTGGTGCTAGGTTTTGGTGCGATTCCCATATCTGGCYAATAATCTGAGCAATTGGATATGACCTCATTGGGAATGTGTAACCTAGTTTGGTTCTGTCTTCTAAGAGTTAACTTATCTTTTCTAAGTTTAGCCTTCCTGAACTTAACCTCCATGCCCACTCTAATGGAACCACTTCCAGATCTTGGATGTCGATTGTGGGTTCATAGATTTAAAAATATCCACCAGCCTTACTTTCCTCACTGAGGCTTCTGGGAGGGCGACTTCTCCATTTGGTTCCCTGCTAAGGCTGCTTGTAGTTGCCCCAGGATTCTCTATGTTATACATGTCACAGATTAACCAGTTATTTCTGGGACCCTCCTTTCAGAAGACAGAGGCTGTGTTAAGGGGTGCGTCCACAATGCTCAGTGCGCAGTTGGGCAGTCTCCTTGCCTCCACTTGAAGGAATTATTTAGCAGATTGAACCATTTGGACGGGATTGATGCTTGGGTATCATTCAGATTTTCTTGTAGGTTGTGAAGGCCCTCTGCACCAATTCTTACCGGACTAACCCGAACGCCTTCGTGTGGCATATGAAAAAAAGCTTGTAGTCCAGAGCGGATTAGTTTGAGAATCCGTTTATCTCGGATTGTTCGCCGAATGATCTTATACAGAGTTCCATGATTTACGGCTCCAGGGCCTTCGGCCTCCAGGGATCCTTCAAACCAAACTCTAATGTTAAGGACGACCCGGGCACAGGTGGGGTCCATGCATATGCAGTCATCCCCCATCTGTGCCTCATCCCGCAGATTCTATGGGCAGTGAACTGCCCTTCCACTAAGATGCGATATCCCGCCCTCCTCTATCCTAAGCATGATGCCTTCCTACCCCAGGCACCCCAAGAATCCACAGTCCCGACTAATTCCCCACTGAGAATTCCCACAGACCCCAACCTGGATGAAGCACCACCCGCAGGCATCAAGAGATACCTGTGGGATGAGAAGTACCCAGTACCTACCCCATACTAACACCCAGTGTGTGCGTAGGATTATCCCCCCCGAGATGGGTCCTACCGTAGTCTAAGTTCGCTTGGTGTGGACTCTCGTACGGGTGCCACGGTGACGGGAAACATCCTAGCTGTACCCAGGCTCGACCATGGCACCCCGACGGACTAGTACATATTGGGGAGACTGAGAGATCGGAGGGTCCAAGTGGCCACGCAGAGGTATCGACGGTTTCGACAGTTTTGGGAGTTTTGGAAGTTTTGTGGTTATCGACAGTCTAGGCAGTTTTTCGATTTTCGACAACAGATAAGACCCTGATCCTCAGACCCCCTATGACAAAGCAATCAAGAAGCCCTCCGTATGGTCTTATCCAGCATTCTACAACCATGGGACCTAGACCCCTTGGGCAGTGAGCAGGCAGTGTTTGTATAAATCTTACCATGCGTCGTCCCAAGGGGGGGGGGTGAATGTCTTGTGCGTTATGAAAGCGCTTACCAGTGTACTTGCGCGAGGCGATGGAGCTTTGAACCCGCAACCTCATACCACAGAGCGCATTTCCCAGCGGTGCTCTAACCACTGAGCCAACGACCATTCACAGTCCAAGGCTATGTGTCTTTTTTTTTTTTTTTTAACTTTCCTTGTCTGTCTGGAATCCGCGGATTACGAAGGAACGCGGACACGCCGTCGGTTAGCGCAAGCCCGCAGTGGTAATTCTCCACGCCACGCTGTCGAGCGCCCTGCCCTCCGCGTGCAAACTCAGGGGGGGGGGGGGGGGGGGGGGGGGGGGAAGGGGGGGGGGGCATGTGGCAGGCGGTACTGTCCAGCGCCTAGGTCGATGTTGTATAGCTGTGTTTGAAGGGATCGCATCGGTGCAAAGTCAGGGTCTATCTAGTCGTCCATTCATGGAAGATGAGATCGCAATGGAGGTGCCGAAGCAACTATCTAGCCGTCCGTTCTACAAAGGGCGGGTTTGATATCCTCGACTTGGGAATCCTCTACGAGCCAAGGAAGAGTTTGAAAAAGACGACAAAGAAAGGGCGGAGCAAGGGATCTTGAGGTTTTAGCCTACTTTGATAGATCCGGGTCCTGTATGGGACAAGCTACGACCAAGACAGATCCGCCAACTTAAAAATTTGTTTCTCAGAAAGGATAAAAAATCAACTTTTGTAAGCCGGCTGAACTGCCCTTTCCAATTACGGAAAAGGTGCAGAACAGCCGTCATATATGGAAAAGAGAGAACCTAAGACACACAAAGAGGAGTTGGAAAAGAAAAGCTGTGGATGTATGAGGCCAAATAACAGTTTCATATACGTGCTTTTTGAGAACTGGAACGCGCCGTGGGGCCGCTCACGTCTTTCTCCAACTATTTCCGCATATTCTCGGATACACTTTTCCAGCGACAGACCCTTTTCACCCGCCCGCTCCATCATCCAGACCGCTCACATCCTCCTCCACCTAATCATCCACAATATTCACACGCACCACCCCTTCCTCCTCTCCTCCTCACTGCACCACCCCTTCCAGACCTCTTCCCTCCCTCCCCTTCCCTGTTTCATCACATCACATACACCCAAGATCCCCATAGACCTCTCCCCTCAGTCCACCTCCCTTTTTCCACCCTGTTCAAAATCTTAGCGACAAGCAACAAACACTAACCTCCTCCATCCCACATCCGATACTAAACCGACCACCTGGTTATGTGCAACTCTCCTTTCTCTCACCCCCACCCTAATTGCCCACAAGTCGTCTTTTGCCTGCGCACACAACCCTCTCTCTCGGACACAACAGCAATTTGAACCCGATCCCCAGACGCTAACCCCCTGGAAGTCACTTTTCTAACTCCTCCATAAGCACGCCAACCTACGCCCCCTCTCTCAGAGCATTCAGCACTGCCTCCCCCTGAATCCTGCACTCACTCCAACAGCAGCGTAAGACAAGTCCTGGGAGGGTGGGTTATCACGTTTCTCATGGAAAGAAGATTCTCGCCCCGGTGGCAATTGAACAGCACTTACGGCATCTCCAACCGCAGGCCGTGAAACGACCTCCTTCAAGCAAGCCATTCAAAATGCTACCTACACCACCCACAACCCACAAACAGGCGCAGGCAAGACACAAATGAAACTCGTTGACAACGAAGCACTCAAATTTCTGATCGAAAAAACAAAGGTCGAAGGAGTACCAATCACAAAGAAAGTGATAGTAGAAGACAAAGAAGAGGAAGTGATTGTGTGGAAATACCTTGAGGGCAAAATCCATGAATTGGATGATCTTCACGAGAGGCATGCAGTAGTTTTCAATTTTGCCTGTAATGGAGCAGAGCTCATGCCGGCTGAGAAAAGAAAATGGATCATAGAAACAATAAAAAAGGAGGCTAAACTCAAAGATGTTGGGGAAGGCTTCCCCTTGCAGAATCTGGGTCGCAACAACCTCATGGTGGTTTTCAACAATGAATATCACGGTGACGAGGCAGAGGCAGAGCAGCGAGGCTGGGAGAGAGAGGGAGAGTGAGAGCACACACACACACTCACTCAACTCGACGCAGACTCGACACACTCGACGGACGCAGACACAAAGTGGCAAAGTGGCAAAGTCGCACTCTTGAATTCCCGAACACAATGTCGCAGCAAAGTCACACTGAACACAAGCACTGAGGCTGAAAAACTGGTCCACGTACTGTGCTTGAGTCCGTACTTAAGTACCGGACTCAAAGTACGGTCCTGAGGGCAGAAGTGAAAATGCCTCATGGCCAGAACTGAAAATCGAAAGTCTGAGAGTGGGCGCCAGAATGTCGGATGGCGCCAAGTGTCCGAAATCCGAAAGTAATACAAGAGGGATTTTGGAAACGGGCGCCAGAATGCAGATGACGCCAACTGTCTGAAATCAGAAAAACAAAACAAAGAAAAAAAAGAAAACAAGAAAAGTCATAAAAAAACAAAAAAAAGAATAAACACGGCAAGCTGGTGGGTGGTAACCCGCAGACCAGGGATCGAGCCCTGGTGGAGTCCGTAACAATCACACCCAAATTGCAGCGGAAATGCAGTCTAGAAACTGCAATGGGTCAATTTGCACGATAACAAAGTGGAAGAAGCAAACGGCTCAGAGGCAGAACCCCACGTTCACTGTCTCCTACAAACAAACACTCATGAAAGAGCACTCCTGGCCCTGGGTTCAGTTCGACGGCATCCGTCCGGTTTTTCACAGCCTGGTGGTGGATAGACTAGAACGACAATAGACAGCGAACAAAATTTTGAAGTGGATTCTGCCGACTCCAGAATTTCTCTCACCTCACTGTGGGTCAATGACGGCCCTACTAGAAGTCAAAACACATGACCTCCCTGTTTTCCCAAAAATCTGGAAACTTCAAATCCTGGAAATCAAGGTCTCTTCACTGTAGTTCTTGAAGGGCTTCAGTGACAACAGCAGTGGGGGAAGTTCAAAGAATGAGAGAGAAGAGAAAGCCCCCAAAAGGGGAGAGGAAGACCAGCGTCTGGTTCCTAGGGAGAGCAGAATCATATGATTTTTGTTGCAGTGCAGGAACCTACAAAAGTTGTGAAAGGAGAATGAAACAGCAGAGCGGGCGGGATGATGTCCCAGCGGAAGAAAACAAAGTATGGGTACCGCTTGTGGAACAAAATTGGAGTGACGAAGGAGCATATATGAATACAATGGAGAATGGCCTATGAGTGAGATGTGGATGCAAGGGACACTTAGGTCCAGATTGCAAAGCAAGAAGAGTGGTAAAAGAGTAGGGCTAGTAGATGGCCCAGCCATATCTACACAGGTTGGAGGGAACAAATGTAAGTTGCAGGGCGCCTTGTTCTCTCACTCCCCAGTTGGCCAAGTTTGGTAGTGCCCACTAGGAGCAGCAGCAAGGAGATGCAGATTGCAGCAGCGATTACAACGATGGACATGATGAGAGCAACGGTCGACACAATGCTTTCACCTGCTCCGTCCCAATGCCAAAGACAACACAGCCCAACGAGGTGCAGAGGGTGATGGCCTTGTGTGTTRCTGTYRAGTTGTACAYGAKAACCAATTGYAGATGTCAGTGAAAAARAGGAGGTGATCCTGATCAACATTGTTGTCAGTCGCAGAGTGGTGAAGACAATGGTGGATAATGGCTCCTTCCAAAATTATCTTTCCCAGAAGTCAATTAAGAGATTACATCTGGGAATGAAGGTGCAGGACCTCACTACGCCAGTGGAGAAGTTACAGATGGGAACGTGATTCAAGATAGACAGTGTGTCAAAGACATTCCTGTCACTTTTGATGTCGATGTGTCTTTCTTCATCTTGGATGGATTACTGTTTCAGATGGTTTTTCGTCAAGAGATGGCTGAGTGCAGCGAGAGCAGTGATTACTTGTGCCACATAGATGATGCAAGTAATGGATGGAGAGAAGGCAATTATGTAGCTTGCATGAAGTGGTATGCAAAAGGGAGCAGCGGAGGAAGAGTTAAGGAAGAAGTGCATACCAGCACCGGCGTTCTTCAAGTATTTGCAGCAGCATCGCAGTGAGGGACTTCGGGTAGCCTGGGTCACTATAGCCGATGCACAAGCCTTTCGCAGCAAGAACAACTTTGGAAGATTGCAACAGCTTATAGAGGAGTACAGAGATCTGCAAGAAGAGCCAGCTGGCATTGTGGGGGGAGAGGTCAAGCATGCCATCCATATAGGACCAGGTGTTGTATCTCCAAAGGGGTGTGCCTATCGTATATTGCCCGGAAATCTCATAGCGTTGAAGAAGCAGCTGGCAGAACTCACAGAGAAAGGATGGATCAAGCCTAGTACTTCGTCATATGGAGCGCCAGTATTATTTGTGCCGAAGAAGGATGGTGGAGTCAGGATGTGCATCGACCAGTGCTGTTTGAATAATATCACAATCAAGAATGTGAAGTCCCTGCCACACATCGAAGAGCTGTTGGACAGAGTACAAGGTTGCAGAATTCCTCCAAGATCGACCTGAAGAGTGATTGTCATCAGATCAAGGTGGAACCTGTAGATGAGCATAAGATAGCATTCAAAACTCGATACGGCAGCTACGAGTTCATTGTTATGTCGTTCGGCACTAACCAACGCATCTGCCACTTTTCAGCGGGCTATGATCGACTTGCTCAAGGACTATTTGGATCAGTTTGTAATGGTCTACCTTGATGACCTCCTTGTGTTCAGCCGTACACTTGGGGCATCTGAAGGTAGTGTTTGAGGTGCTGAGAAAGGGGAAGTACAAGATCAATGTGAAGAAAAACGAATTTGGGAAGGAAGAGATACCGTGCCTTGGGCACGGTCAGTTACTACAAGAAGTTGATTGAAGGGCAAGGCAGGCACCATTGCCGCACCATCGACCCAATTGACTGAGAAAAAAAAAAAAAAAAAAAAAAAAAGGTCTCAACAAAAACCTCCCCATTCTGTTTCAGATGCAGGGCGCGCGGACACTTGGGTACAAACCCAAACTGCCCGAAGTTTCGCAAAGCAATCAAAGGAACGAAAACTTCTCCCCAACATGCTAGTGGAAGTTGGGGATCCCCCGGGCACATGGTTTATCATCGACCCCAACTATGACGGTTGGGTTTTTGACGACAACCTGGATGACCCAGACTGGGTGTGGCACTACGTAGACCAGGAACCCACAGTAAAAAAGCCCAACATTTTTCCACCAGCAGACATCAGATGATAGAAGAAGGCAACAGGTAAGATCACTGGGAACCCAACAAATATCAACACAAATCCGCTGATTGACTCCCGCATGGACTCAGTCCGGGAACAGGCAGAAGAACAATACAGCAAGGAACCAGCAGCGTTCAAAGAGATGCTCAGTCACCTGGAGCAAGAGGCCAGCCAGAAGTCCTCCAAATTGCAAATGGACAACAAGCGCATGCTTGATGAAGAGGAAGACTCACAAGAAACAGTAGAGGTGGGTCTTACGCGAATAAAAATGATGGAATCAGATAAAGAGATGGGGAAAGAACAGCCTCCCGCGAAAGGACAGAAAAGAAACACAAATTCTGATTCCACCGGTGCAGGAACTGATACCAACGACAGCAAATTGGGCAAGGACAGCGGGGAGAACAGAGGGACAACCACGGACAGTGGGTCTGACTCCCAACGGTCCCTCCAATGGCTGCGGGACTATATAGAGAAAGCCAAGAAGGAGAGAGCACGCTTTCGACATCAGAGCGGCCTGCCTGAAGCATATTGAAAGATCCCAAAAAAAATGGAAAAAGCAACAAAAATGGAACAATCGCGGGAATCGAGGAAACAAGCAATCAGTACGAGGCTCTAAAAAAGGAAAAGGCGGAGGAATTCTCAGAGTGCACCGCCTTCAGGTACGCAGAGGGAAAAAGAGCAAGAGAACAAGGACTGACTGACAAGGACAAGACACTCCTCAACACCAATGACTCTTTCCAGGATCTGCGCCCGAAGAAGTGGAAGACAACAAAGAACGAAAAAAACCAGAACCAAACTCTGATTCGAATTTAGACCAAACAGAAGCAGAGGAAGAATCAGCACGGTCATTGTTACAAAAAGAAATGGCAGTGGTTATGGCT